ACAGCCTTCCCAACTCCCTAAAATGAATGACATAAAAGTAAAATTTATTAGCATTCATAATTATATAGCTTTTCCATGATTACATCTGCCTGTACATGTAATATGTCTACATTACTTAAGGTAACTTTTTGAAGATATGTATTAGTGATTTAGTCTAATTCAATAATCTCAAAGTTGATGTGTTAAAAGGTACTTTACTGACATTTAATATCGTGTTTCTATTTGTATGAAGTTCACGAAAAAGCAAAAATAATCAATAGTGGCAAGGGTCAAAATGATGGTTACAACAGCAGTTAGTATTGACTGACTGGGTGTGTAAAAATCACCAAACTGTAGACGTCAGATACATGTTAACACTTGATTGTATGTATTTGTTCTCTTTATTGAAAACAGAGTGGTAGTGTATCCCCAAATTCATAAGCTACACATTTGCTTGTATATGGGTACAATTATATAATACATTATGCAAGCCAAAACTACAAGCCAAAGAAAGTCCAAGTATGTCTAAAACTTTAGGAATCTGTACCCAGAGAAAAGAAACATAAAGTTTTAGGGTTTTTGTACCCTAAAATGGATGAAATAGAGGAGTGTTTTTCTTCTTATTTTGCATCTTTTAACCTCAGTGTCTGAAGACTTCATTCCCTTATATCTCATTTCACAAAATAAAGCTTAGCTTTAAGGCAATAATAAAATATCAATAGAAATAATAAAATATTAAGAGATTTATAGTGCACTGTCATCACAACATTTTAACTTCTAGAATAGTTGGTGAAATATATATTATTTTATTAAAGGCAACTTACTAAAGATTTTAACTATCAGTTTTCTTCATATAAGCATTATTCTTTATTTAAGTCTAGACATGCCAATTTAGAGTTAAGATATATGTATAATTATATAAAAAGTATATAAATTATATATATATAAAGATGCCAGCTGCTAAACAGCGCAACAGAAAAACTTTTAATTGGAAGCACAAAAGGTATGATGTATTTCTTATTTTCAGTAATAGGAAGAACAAAAATTGATTGGCATGGGAAACTGTGATCTGAAGAACACTAAACAATATAACAAATGTTGGTAGTACTGTGATGATAGGCTACGTCTGTGTTGGTGCCCAGAACGTGTCCTTAGCCCCTCTGTGGGTAATGTCAACTGTGATTTCCTCCAGTCATTTGAATAGTGAACACACAGGACTAATTTGGACAGAGTTACTTGAGCAAAGCCCAATTCGAATTTCAAAATATTTTAGCTATCTTAGAACAACCGTTCTTATTAACAAACAAGCCTATGGTCAGCTTCCCTGTTTTGAATGTTTAATCCACGTAAGACATGCATTACATAGGCAAGTAGGCCATTGCCTAAACACTGTCTCCTTTAGTCCCTTTAACAATTCCATGAGGTGGATATTATACCACTTCTGAACGTGGACATCCATGTGGCTATAGGTCAAGTAACTAAAAATAGTAGGCAGGGGTTTGAATACAGAAGAGTCTGTCTCCAAATGCTATAGTTTCTCCAAATCTCTGCACTACCTCAAGAAAAATGTCTTCGGTGTCAAGATGATTTTAAAATTAGCTAAATCAGCAGACTTCCCCAGTTAAAAGAAAAATCAAATGATTTTAGAAAGTGTTTGTACTTTGAGAGTACATAAACTTTGCTTTAAAAAAGCTTACTAGGAAGGGAACACACACACACACACACACACACACACACACACACACATCCCTGCCGTTTGTCCCATGGGTGGGGAACAGTTCTGCCTATGAATTTGTCTGGCCCAACTTAAATGAACACTGTAATTGTAAACCTTTTCATTTTTTTCCAGTTCTAAAAGTGTATGGTCTGGTAGCTGCTTAAGTGCATCTTTTGTTTGGGGAAATATAATGAACCCTGTTGTATATGCCAAGGTATGTTGGAGCTTAGTGGTTGGGGACTGCAAGTTAAATTTCTCTGCGTAACAAAGTAACAAAAATGTGTAACTTTCAGGAGACAGAAGTTGAGATGGAAGATGGACTGCAATAGAGAAAGGATCCCTGAAACAGTAAGAACATGAAAGCTGGACCTAAGGAATAAGACAACCAATGACAGTCCCCATGAGATAAGCAATCATGAAATTCTAGATTCCTAAGAAATTTTAAGTTGTTTTTTTTCCATGCCATGGTGAGTCCACCTCCCTTATTTATGCTCAAGACTGTAAATATATAACAACATTGTGCCAGTAGAGAAGAAAGGAATTGCCCCATATGTGGCACAAAATTACAGAATGCAGGAAGGCAAGGAGAGGAGTGGTGATCAAGAATCCAATAGCCAGCCAGGCTCAATGGTTGAGCACTGGCCTATGAACCAGGAGGTCAAGGATTGATTCTCCGTCAGGGCACATGCCTGGGTTGCAAGCTCCATTCCCAGTAGGGGGCATGCAGGAGGCATCCGATTAATGATTCTCTCTCAAGATTGAAGTTTTTCTCTCTCTCTCTCCCTTCCTCTCTGAAATCAATAAAAATACATTTTTAAACGTAAAATATTAAAGATCATTGGCTGTGTAAGGGGCCCCAAGAAGAGAAACCCATAGGATTTCACAAGGATTCATCCTTCGGAGGGGTAAGGTGGTGTGTGTTTTGTGCATGTCTATGTTTCTGGTTCCTAGTTCAGTTCCTATGCAAAGTATATTTTCAGTTAAATATTGTTCACAGGCACTGAATTTTGAAGAGCAGAATCCTTTGTTTCACCACCTCTGTTCTGGATAATTCATTCAGTTATTAATTCAGTGCCTCACATATCCAAATAGTATAACAGACATTGAGAATACAACATTGAACAAAATGGACCCAGGTCCATATACTTGAAGTATTAAAAAGTATATAATTATCACATGAGATGATGTGTTACTATGATGGCAAGAAGCAGGGCAGCGGCTAGTATGATAAAATAGTATGAACTTCAAAGGACTAGTGGTTTTCAAAAAGGTAGGAAGTGTCCTTGGACACTGAGACTATGTTTACATGCAGCCATGTGGGAGAATGAGCTACAATAAGGTGGGAATGCAAGAAGGTGGAGGGAACATTCAAAGAAGAAGATAAAGAGGAAAGAGTTAGATAATCAACATTATTACTAATGCCTCCTTATTCTATTCATAAATGTATTTACTGTTTCAATAATTCTTTTAATTTCTCTGGACCTCAGCTGTCTTGTCAGTAAAATAAATAATTGTGCACTAGTTAGCCATTTGATACTGTAAGGTCTTTTCTATTTCAAATATATATCATTTAAATCATTATACTACACACTTGAAAAGAATTATACTTTATATATAATTAATATGCCCAAGATATCCTTGACTTTAAGATACATCATAGACTTAATAACAGCTTTGAAGGAAAAAGAAGACAGTATTCCAACTCTAAGGTATAATACAAGTTTGGCAATGAGGAAGTGTAAAAAAAATGTGCATCTTAGAGTCAAGGGCCTAAAAATATTCAATAGAGGCATAACAAATTATCACCATGCCATCAATTAATTTTATTTCCATTAACTTTATAAGATGGTTCTCTTATAATAAAAAAGTACAGAAATACCTTTTTAACCCAAGGCAATAATATCCAGAAAAGTAACAAATAATGTACACAATAAATGTATAAAAGGGTAATTGGTATGTCTCTCATTGCAAGGACTACTATTTTATTTTTCTTAATAATGACTTCAGTTAACATAGTCTAGAAGATTGACTTTTCTAATGATAAAATGTCAAAACTTTGACATTTTATCATTAATAAAGATTTGAATTTTCTAGCTTTTTACATACAAAAGCCCCTAAGGGTAATATTGTACATCAGACATGAAATTCCAGGCCATTGCTGTCTGTTTTGACTTTGTAAAATGTTTGTTTAAAATATCCCAAAATATGTTTAGTTTGTTGATTTTCAAAATACTTCATGTGGCCAAAAAGAATATAGATTAATTTATTTCTTTCTTATATAAAAATTAAATTTTGGGGGGGAAATGAACATATATTCATAAACATATAATTACTAATTCATTATGTCTACATCTCACATTCTCTTTCAATTATAGTATACTATTTAAAAAGCGACCCCTAGTTATATACCCGCTAAACCTAAGTGAAGATTATTTTAAGTCTATGAATCAAGAGCTATGCTCTGAACCTTAAAAAACAAAACAAAACAAACACAAAAAAACAGCTAAGAAAACTAGTTCAAAAACAATAAAGATAAAATAACCACACTATTCAAATTTATTCATTGAATAGACTTAGAAAATCAGGACTGGATGTGGTTACTAATTATTTTTAAATACTTTTCATTACTAGCACTAAAGGGAAACGCTGCAGAAAGCAATTAATTTGTAAATAAACAAAGAAATAACTTCAAAGAAAACTCAAAAGCCATTTTCTTCAAGCCATCTTTTTAAAGGAAATATAAAGACAAAGATTCTTTTTCCGAATACCATTCAATGTCATTATAATGACCAACAATTGCTACTAAGTTTTTTTTAAATAACCTACATAATTCTTGAAAAGGGGCCCATGCAACACAAACCCACACTCCACCAGACAACATCTAATCAGTCAGCAAATATTTATTCATCACTTACTAACGCATGCAAGAAGCAGGGAACAAAGAAGTTCAAAAAAATCAGTTCCTGCAAGTCTGCAGCTCATGGACTGGAGAAAGATACAGGACAGAAAAGCAGCAAATGTGGAAGTGGGCCTGGGTCAGACAACCAACTGGAACACAGACAGCTTTTTGATGAGGAAAAGATACACAGCTGGGAATTTTTGACACTTATTTGTTAAAAAAAAAATGCCGTACACCCTCCATGCCTACCTACGTCAGTTGAAATATTATTCTTTTAAGGAAATGCCTAATATGCCACCCAGCCAGGCAGTCTGGCCTAAAATGCACAGAAGAGCCACCCAATGAATGTTGGCCAAATGAATAGTCTTTTCTCTCTCTCTCTCTCTCTCTCTCTCTCTCTCTCTCTCTCTCTCTCTCTCTGCAAAGCTGGTTCGTATAAGAGTTCAAAACTTCATTAGTGTGCAGTCAAGTGTCTATTCACAAGCAGCTGAACAGTTTTAAACTGCAATTTGCATTCTTGAAATTGGAGCCTTTTTTCTGTGTAAAATCATTCCTCACTTCTTCATTAAGCATTTGTTCAGTACCTGTGATACATAAGACATTCATTTAGTTGCTGGTAAACTGACATGAGAAAAATACTCTTGCTTTCCCAGCTCTTAAATTACTGTGGGGAAAAATGTTTACTAATTTTTATCTACCAAGAAAAATATCAGCTAGTGTATGTGCCAGGCAGAGAATTGAAATGATGTGATGTGATGTGATAGAGACATGGCGGGTCCTTTAGTGCTCACAGAAAGTGTCTTCATTTTGATTCCTCCAGAAGTAGAGTTTTGGACAAGAATTTAGGGGCAAAAATATTATTTGGTAGGTGGAAGGAACATCAGGATTGAGGGTGAGGAACTGAGACAAGGAAATGAAGTAGCCCCAGTGGTGAACACATACATGCTTCTGAGTTTTCCATCTGAGGGGTGGGGATCTGGGTAACGTATATATCAAATCCTATCAGGCACTGGTTGAGAGTTGATGGGGGGAAAAGAATCAATCCCCCAGTTGTCCCTCGGTATCCATGGGGAATAGGTTACAGGACCTGGCAGATACCAAAATCCACAGATGCTCTAGTCTGTTATACAAAATAGTATGATACTTGTATATAACCTACACACATCTTTGAAATCACCTCTAGATTACTTATAATACCTAATACAGTGTAAAGGCTATGTAAATAGTTGTTATACTGTATTGCTTAGGGAGTAATAATAAGAAAAATATCTGTACTTGTTCAAAACAGATACAACCATCACAAGCCTAACTACATAGCATTTGTTAGTAACTATGTAACATTTTTGTTCAATTATCTTTGATCTGCCATTGGTTGAATCTGCTGATGAGGGAATGCAGATACAAAGGTCCATTTTTCTGGCCAGCAAGCAGAGGCTCACTAATGGAGAAGACAGTGCCTAGGGAATGAAACATAGGTGCTGTAGTCGTACAGTAAAGAATTCAGGGCACAGTATATGGGTGGGGCCTGCAGGGCATCTTGTGGAGGAGACATTTATGCTGGAATCTAAATGGAAAAAAAGAATCTGGGGTAAAAATGCCCAATCAGGAGAAACTGCTAGAACAGGATCAAGTTTGAGGTGCACGTTGAAGGTCCCCTAGCTAGATTCTATGGAGCAAAGGGGAAGACGTATAAAATCAGATCCCAAAGAACTCTGGAAGCCAGAATAAAATGCCTGGAACTTATTCTAATGGTACTAAGAGGACATAGGTGGGGAGTACCAGCTTCACACAATCGTATTTGCATACTTAAAAAAATGAGTCTGTTGGAAACAAATGAATAGTGAGGTCATGAGTGTAAACAATAAATCTAGTATACCGCTGCAGAGGAGTCGTGGTGGGGTCGAAATGAAGAAAGCTGATCTGATGATGAGCTGAATATGCAAAAGGGGTGGGGAAGAGGTGGCCTCAAGAATCCTTCATACTATCTTCACTAGCAACTCTGTATATGGTAATGGCAGTGGTACCTTTTACTAGGAAGGAAGAAGAGGAGAGACATATATTAGTGAAAAAAAATCAAGTTTGTTTTAGTCACATTAAAGTTAAGGTGCCTATCAGATATCTGTAGATAGATAAATATATAAGTTGGAAGCAGAGGAACATCAAAACTAGAGTTAGATAAAAGGGTGCCATCCACATATGAAACATCTGAAGGCCAGAGAGAGAGTAGATGACATGACTTAAGGGCAACATCAGATATAAAGAAGAAATGGATCCAAGGACAGACTTGCATATTGCAAATAATAAATTTATATGAATGATATTTATTTATTTATTTATAAAATATTACAAAGAGTAGTATATATGTCTCCTTTTTTTTCCTCCTTGACCTTTCCCCCGGCCTCCCCTACCCCTCAGTGTATATGAATAATATTTTATTGTGTCACAGTAAAATGTACCTCAGTAATCACAGTCAACTCATTATTTCATTCAGTCTTTCAATATTTATTTAATATTGAATAGACTTACAGAATTATGCTGAGAATTATAGAAGATTCAAGATATATCATACATTAATACTCATTTTTTAAGAATGAAGGATCTACAAACCCTCAAAGATTAAAGATTGACTGTGCTGATTGTCCTAAATAACAAAGATACAGAAAAAGGACCATGGTAACTCAGAGGAGAAAGAGATTATTTCCACCTGGCAAAATCACAAAAGGTTTTGAATGGAAATAGCATTTAAGCTGGGGCTTAAAAGTCTGTTCAAATTTGTAGAGCTTACCCTGTAAAGACTTACGTAATGGATGCATTTCAAGACTGACAGACTTAAAGAAGAAAACACAGAGACGAGACACTGGAAGGAGTATGGTGTTCATTTAAAAAGTTCAATTTGCTAAATGATAAAATGTATGAATGAGATAGGTGGCGAGTATTTCTAGAATACCAGATGCATAAATACATCTTGAAAGTATTCCACATAAGAAAATAATTCACTTTCTATGCTGCCAAATATATATTTGGTTGGGTTTTTTAAAAAAAACATTTTAAAAGCCATAATTGCCTTTCACTTCCATTTTATAGAATATTATTGTCCATTGTATAAATATGCCAAAAGCAATTATTATGCACTTAGAAATTCACTTCTCACTTATCTTATCCATTTGGGTTATATTGTGCCACACTGTAGATCATTTTATAGCACCTTTTTCCATCTATCAATCCTGTTTTTCCTATAAAGACTAAAAACTCATTCATTACAGTGAGAGCTGTCAGGTGGGAATTAGTCACTGGTCAGTATAAATGAAAAGGATGAAACCTGGGCTCGGTAAGAAGATGAAACACAGGATGAGAAGAGTCAAGTACCAGGGGATATGCTGAGGCCCAATGACCAAGGTAAGGAGTAGGCAAAGAAACATTTCACCCCATTCTATAGTCTACAGTCTACACTCATCTATTTAGATAGTTTTCATTTTAGTTCAGTTCAGTTCCTTTGTAACAGTCTTTAAGAGTCTATGAGAAATATCCTTTTATGGTGGTCTTTAAAGACATTTTAGTACACAGCTCCCAAAAAACAGAATTTACCCATATTTGAAAAACACTGTGTACAAGAGATTCCCCTTTTTCTCATATTGCTTGTCATAAGAATAAAGTTTATAATTACTGAAGGGCCCAGTGTTTATCTCTAGAAGGTTCTCAAGAGCACTGTCATATTAACAATACAGGATTGCACGCACAAGAAAGCCAAGCAAAATAGCACAACGAAAATACAACAGGCAAAGAAATGATAAATGTAAAGAAATAACAAAATATAAATAATTGCAATACATGAATCCATGACGGGCAATTTAGGAGGGTCAGCTGGAAACAATAGACAAGGCAGTAGTAGTGACATGCTTCGTAGAATAAGCATTATAGACCCTCAACAACGTGGAAACCCTGAGTTTAAAAAAATGTGCAAAATGACAATCAGCAAGAAAATACAACAGCAGTTAACCCTTTGGAAAATGACTGAAGAATAATAAAAATACTACAGAAATGATGAGTTAATCTAATATCTAATTACCTGTGTATTTCCAAAGAAAATTGAACACTGTCTGTTCAAAATTTAGAAATTTAGAAAATATAATACCATCCACATCCTTAGCTCTCTAGGTGACATACCTTTCCTGGGAGAGGAAAAGGAAGAAAAAGAAAAGAAAATGAATAAAAAGCATCACATCTTATAAAGAAATTTTTATGGCTCATACAATCAATTTTTCATAGCAAACAAAAAAAGCGGGAAAAAGGCAAAATTATAGAACTACTCTCCAGCTGGAAAAACAAAACTGATTTGCCCCATGGCATCTGAACCAGTAATTTCTCTTCTTCCAGCCTTCCGGAAAGCATCAAAACACAAAAGAATTATCCAAAGAGACAAAGTCTTTCCTCTTCCCCCTTCTCCTCCTTCAATGAATGATTTACTGTTCAATAAGGGTTAACTCAGGTCAGCTTTTTTTTTTAAAGGAGCTAGTCTCAACCTTTAAGCAGAGCACAGCAGAATGGAAAATATTCCCTGGTTACTTATTCTTCAGCTACTTATGGATATTAGGAATAGATGATAACATTTTTAAATACTTGATGTCACATCAAGTTACCTCTCCTGCTTTCAAACGGCGCTTTCAAGATTTCTGTGTTGACAGGCCAGAACCTGTCGTGTCCTGCGAAGCACAGAGCCCTGCTCAGGAGGCCCACACAAGTAGAAATGATGAAAACCCCTCCGTTCACCGACGGTAGTACACCAGATGTTAGAACATCAAATGGTTGTCATTGGATTTGGGGCTTAAACAAAATGAACTGGGTTATGAATGGAATTCAGTTGTCCTTAGCCTCATATTTCTAATCCCCCAAACATACACTTTAATTTCTGCCTCACCTGTATATGGTTGTGTGAATACTGGGAAACTTACATAATTTGTATGAAAGCATTTCTTAGAATTGCATTTCAAGAAATAACCTTCTTCAAAAGCAGCTTAAACTGAAAACATTCTAGATGGTTCACCCTTATTGTTGGGCAATCTTTGGGGGTAGAAATGTGGAAAAGTAATTTCTGGCAATGAAAAGAGGATGTGCAAAATTGTGCAAAAATCAAATTTGGAGACCTGAGAGGGTTTCAGAACGGCAGGGACTTAAGATATCTGTGGTGGATGGATGAAGGCAACAAGACATTTAAGCTTGATCAATGAAGGACCTGTAGACTAGAATATACTATTATTAGTTGTTCTGGGGAGAGAGGCAATGTATAGAATGAATTGTTTACATTATCTTAAAAGACATTTTCCTTAAATAAGGCATTACCACCATAGTCACATAACTGTAAACAGAAATGAAATCCCATTATAGAGCTGAGACTCCTAGTAGTAATAACCACAATGAAGCATCTAAGTTTATACTTTTATTATATATGCAATCCAGCCTCACTTCTTTTTTCTTATCTCCTTATTAAAGTTCTAATTTCCCTGTTCAGTAACCCCGTAATGCATTTTAACCTTCCTACCCTGCTACCTATGGAAGGGAGGTGGGCAGCCTAGTGTGGAATGCAGCAAAGCCATTCGGAATAGGAAAAAATTTGACAAGAATTGTGAAAGCAAAGGATGTGACAGCCTCAGAAGCCTGACCTTTTGAACTTGAAACCAGATGTATGACTCAGCTCCCCAGTACACATGAATTCTTTTGTATTATGGGCGAAATGGCAAACATTTCCTGTTATTAAAACATTTTTGGATTACCTTCCCAAGAGTAATGCAGAGCTTCTGAAAAGATAACTGCACAGTGACAATAAAAAGATTGTTAAGTGTGCCTCGAAGCGATAGGGCAAAGAGTATTATATTACCACTGAGAAAAACACTTAAATTATAGACAAAGATCCATGAAGGCTTAAGTTGCCCGGGATCACATTAACCTCTTTGGTTAGTGCCTACGCTTCAGGACACATGACAATCACAGGGCTGGCTTGCTATGCGGGCGGAGGTTCAGCAGTGATTCTTTTATTACTGTCCAGGAAAAACAGCCCAAGGTAATCTTGAAGCACATCACACCTGACCTGTTTATTGCAGCTGGCACAGGACAAGGCCATGACAATGGACAAATGCAAGGCTGTTAGTATTAGAAAGGAAGCTGCTGACCCTTACTTCTCAAAAGCTCGCGTCCCCTGAAACCTTGGACCACCCAGACATTCGCTATGATAACTATCCTCTTAAACTAAAGTGGAGATATTTATTCAGAATTATAGTTTATACTTACTGTGGAACATATCTTTGTATGAATTTTAAACATTACGTTTTATAGGAGGTTTTTTTAAAACTACACCTGATGAGCAGAAATTCTCAGATAGTAGAGTGTGCTTTAATTGTACTTCTGAATCACCTTTCCCTTGAAAATTGTTCCATCCATTCTTCATTAAAAGTAAATTACAGCAACATTTTTAAAAGTAACTATAATACCTGGTTATGATGTGCATTTATAGGATATGATCTGGCTGAAAAATAGCACTGAAAATGTGTAAATAAAAAGGGGGATGGCATTTACTCAACTAATGTAATTGTAACTTAATCTATTATTAGAAACTTCCAATTTGCCAAAGAGTCTGTTTTGATCAGGAGTCTGACTGTGTTCAATTCTCCCCCACATTTTCTATAATTTATATTTCAAAGAGCAACATTTTTTAAAATGTTATAAATGAATGCACTTAGGTTTAACTTTCAGATACCCAGGCAAGTATAATATTTACCTTTTCTCCTTAAAGGAAGTAAACACAGAAACGTCACACTATTATCTGTGCTCAAGAGTGAAGAAAAAAGTGTGGAATGAGAGTTAATATTTAATCATAATCATCACCTGGTGAGTCAGACAGCCCTGTTGAGAATCTGAACTCTGCCACTTCACACCCAGCCTTAAGACTGTGGACTAGTTTCATAACTTCTGTGAGTCTGAGTTGCTTCACCTATACAAGAAAGTCGTCTAACTCATAGGTTTACATAAAACCTAAATG